GAGAGAAAGAGAGAGAGAGATGTCTGTATGTATGTGTGTGTGTGTGTGTGTGTGTGTGTGTGTGTGTGTATGTGTGTGCGTATGTATGTATGTGTGTGTGTGTGTGTGTGTGTGTGCGTATGTATGTATGCATGTGTGTGTGTGTGTGTGTGTGCGTGTGTGTGTGTGTGTGTGTGTATATGTGTGTGCGTATGTATGTGTGTGTGTGTGTGTGTGCGTATGTATGTATGTGTGTGTGTGTGTGTGTGTGTGTGTGTGCGTATGTATGTATGTGTGTGTGTGTGTGTGTGTGTGTGTGTGTGCGTATGTGTGTGTGTGTGTGTGTGTGTGTGTGTGTGTGTGTGTGTGTGTGCTGTGTGTGTGTGTGTGTGTGTGTGTGTGTGTGTGTGTGTGTGTGTGTGTGTGTGTGTGTGTGTGTGTGCTTGTAGCAAGAGCCAAGGCAACGTTTCGATGACCGTCTGTCATCCTTATCAGGGCGATTCATAACTAGCTTAGAATCGCCCTAATGAAGATCTACGGATGACAGACGGCCATCGAAACCTTTGTGTACAAGTATACAAATGGCTGTGAACAAACAAGAACTTTGATATTCATCCATTCGCCAACCTGATGAAATTATTCACAGATGTGATTTTTTTTCTACTTCTAGCCGGTAGCTCGAAAGGAGAACTGCTTTGGTTCCAGCAGCCGGAGTCTAACGGCTCCACCACGCCTTACTGGTCCCTACATAAGATCATCACCGGACCCGATACCTTCTTCCGCTCGGCCAACCTGACCATCGGTGGGAAGCTCCGAACCGTCATCATCACGTGCGGATACTTCTCCAAGGAGCTGCGCATCACGTGGACAGAGGGTGAGTATCACGTGAACAAATCGTGATCTAGATAGAACATCTACAATGATGACTATCAAAGCAGTATGTTAGGGTTACAGCAACGTGCCAACCGCATATACATGAGAAAATACACTTCACACTACTTTGTTTAACGAGTTGTCTAACTTTTTGCCAGAAAAAATCTTACGTTTTGAGAATGTTAGATTTTGTTAAATATTCAAAGAATAGAATCAACATACTTTGTAAAAATGAAAAGAGGGCCCTCATAAGTATTAAATGTATTTTTTTCCATCCTCCAAATAAATGTGAATGAATAAAATGTAAAAATACATTATTGCAGACCCAAAAGGAAACTGGACGAACACGAAAAGTATCAACTCTGCCGTCATTGACGATGACCTGGGACAGTTCTTCAGTGTGGAGGTAAAAATTTATCGTATTCTACTACTAGT